GTCAAGTCAACATAGCAGGGGACCATTTTCAATATTTGACTGAAACGTTCAAAATTTTCCGCAAGTACAACATGAAGCTGAACCCGAAAAAATGCGCCTTTGGCGTGGCTTCAGGTAAATTTTTGGGTTTTCTTGTTTCTAACAGAGGGATTGAAGTAATCCCGTGCATATCAAAGAAATTGAGGAAATACCTTATGTACTCACGAGCATGAAAGAAGTACAAACATTAATAGGTAGAATAGCACCTCTGGGAAGGCTTATATCCAAATCTTCGGAAAAATATTTTAAGTTCTTTTTATTATTGAAAAAGCAAAATCAGTTTGAATAAACTGATGAATGTCAAATAGCTCTGAAGGATTTAAAGTCATATTTGTCAAAACTGCCCCTGTTAGCAAAGCCAAGAGACAAGGAAAGATTTCTCATTTACCATGCTGTGTCAGAAGTGGCGGAAGCGCGGTACTGGTATATGAAGATAAAGGTAAGCAATCTCTGGTCTATTATGTTAGTAAGTCTTTACTAGATACTGAGACACAGTATTCTCACTTAGAGAAACTTTCATGAGCTTTAATTATGGCATCAAAGAAGTTACGACCCTACTTTCAATGTTATCCTATTTCTATTATAACTACTTTTTCACTAAGAAATATATTACACAAGCAAGAATTGTCAGGAAGGTTAGCTAAATAGGCTATAGAGCTTGGTGAATATGATATTATATATCAGTCTAGAACTGTTATAAAGTCTCAGGTGCTACCAGATATCGTAGTAAATTTTAACTCGAACCTGATTCGTGAAGCAGAAAAAGAGTTGTGAATATTTACCGGAGCTAATCCGAGTACTTGGACTTTGTTTATTGACGGTTCTTCAAATGTTAAAGGAGCAGGTTTAGGAATTATTTTTATTCCGCCTTCAGGAGAAGTCATAAGGCAGGCAATAGAGTGTTATCCAGTGACTAACAATGAAGCAGAGTATGAAGTTGTGATAGCAGGTTTGGACTTCGCAAGAAACCTTGGTATTTAAAAATCATAATCAAAAGCGACTCGAAACTAATAGTAAATCAAATGCAAGGAACTTACGTGGCAATAGAAACACGAAAGCAGCAATACCTCGAAAAGGTAGAGGAATTACTGAGGTAGTTCTAAACATGGAAAGTTCTACAAATACCTAGGGAGGAAAATGCAGAAGGAGATGCATTGGCAAATCTCACATCCATGGCGGATGCGACAAATGCAGAAAATGCAGTTGTGGTATACTTGTTTCATTCAGCACATGACCAAGCTAAGAATGAGATACATTTTAATAATTTAACTTGGGATTGGAGAAACGAGCTTGTGAGCTTTTTGCAGTATGGAATTTTGCCCGAGGATAAAAAGAAATCTCGATTGCTACAGTTTAAGGCTGCTCAGTATTGCCTGATAAGGGGGAATTTGTATCGCAAAATATTTGGTGGACCTTTAGCACGATGCCTTGGACCTTCACAAACAGAATATGTAATAAGAGACGTACATGAGAGGCATTGCAGTAATCATGTAGGGGGAATATTGTTGGTAAAAACATTAATAAGAGCAGGATACTATTGGGCAAAAATGAAAGATGAAGCAGAAAATTTCGTAGCAAGGTGCGATAAGTGCCAACAATATACTAATAATATGCATCGACCGGGGGAATTGCTACATTCAGTTATATCACCATGGCCATTAATGAAATGGGGGATAGATATCATAGGTCCTCTGCCTCGAGCTAAGGGAAAGGTACAATTTTTGTTAATTCTAACCGATTATTTCTCAAAATGGGTAGAAGCAGGTGCCTTTAAACAGGTACGAGAAAAGGAAGTTATGGACTTCATTTGGAGATATATAATATATCGATTTGGAGTCCCAAAGGAAATCATTTGTGATAATAGGCTGCAATTCTTAGGTGTAAAAGTTAGTGACTTTTTTAAAAGTTGGAAGATTAAACAAATTACTTCTGTACCTTACCACTCTGTAGCTAATGGTCAAGTTGAGCCAACAAATAAGGTCATCGTCAAAAAATTAAAGAAGCGTCTGGAAGAATCAAAATTCAAGTGGCCAGAAGTACTACCATGGGTATTATGGGCTTACTGAACGACGGCGAAACCAAGCACTGGTGAAACCCCATTCTCGCTTGTATATGGAACAGAAGCATTAATCCCAGTGAAGATAGGGGAACCAAGCTCAAGATACACTTAGAATTTGTTCATGTGCAGAGTTAACGGAAAGTCTAGCAGAAGGAACGGAGCGGGGCTGATGCAATGAATGGCAAACCCTCAAACAGTAAAAGCAAAAAGGATCAAAGGAAAAGAAAAGAAGGAACAAAGAGAAGGAAAACTATGAGAATAAAAGTATACTGTGGGTCTTCACTTTCCATCCAAATTTATATGAAAGAAATTTTCAAGATCTCTTATCCATGGTAGATGACATTTTTTCTACCCAATCACGAAAGTTAGGAATTTCTGTGAAGACTTCCTTGGTTGCTGAAAAATGAACAAAAACCTATGTGAGAAAAATTGAAACATTAAAGGAAACAAGGAAATAAAGAAAAATACTCATGTGCAAAGTTTTACTTCTCAAGGAAGGGCATATTCTCATCATTCACTAATTTACGAGTGGAAACAGCAACAAATCGGGCATACCAACCATGTCACAATCATCCTCGGGGCTTAATAAAACTTTTTTACTTCTCGCCATGAGAGAAAAATACCCTCTTGAAAAAGCTTTAGGGAGTACAGGTGGAGTAAGTGACAAAAAGTAAAAGGAGCGGAAAGCAAACCTGATATGTAACGAAGGCAAGCAACTGCCCTCCACACAATCATACCTATTTGACTGAGACGGATATTGAAATAGCGGAAAAATTCAATAATCACGGGGTCAGTAGGAGGGTTAACCCTAAGGTGAAAGGGCAGGTATAAACAAAATAATAACCTTCATGGTAAGAGGTGATTATATTATTAGCACTAGGGGTCATTGTTGGTAAATCAGGTTTCTAATGGCATTCACGTCGAACTAAGGCAAAGAGGCTAGGAGTAATCAAACTAGGGTAATAATCAACAGGTTTAAGAGATGTTATGGAAGAAACTTGTTTACTCATAGCTTCACAATTCGATATGAAGGAAAATTCTTGAGGGACAATCTCAGACACAATGGTTCTCACATAGGCTCATTATGATCTCTCCCTCTAGAGGAAGATTTGGGGATTATGGAAGTTCTAGCCCTAGAGGAAGAAGGTTTGGCAGAACCACCCTGAGAATGGGTAAAACTATGGTAGACAAAGAACCTAAGCTACGTAGTTTGCCACATCTTCTACTCCTAGTGGGGGCAGAAGGGGGGGGAGGGGAGGGAGGAGTTCATCAACGATCACTATCTTACGAGGGTCTGATGATGAATAAGGGTTTGAAGAACGATAAAACATCTTTAATGGTGAAGATATAAAAGAAAGAAGAAGAACTGCAAGAGATGCTAAAAGTATGAATGCAAGAAAGAAGAAGGGAATTTTCAAAGTTGAGTGTAATAAGGTATTTATAGGGAAAATAACCCTCATTAGAGATTATCATTATGAACTATTATCATGGAACCGTCACTTTGTGAATGATGCAGCTGCAGAAAAACCCTAAAAAGGCGTTGAAAGTTGCAGAACCAACTGTAATTAGACACATGTACTGAGCATTGATTATACATGACGTATGTCTCATCGATTCTGAAGAAGGAATTATGATAGTGGGGAAGAGGCGGCAAGATATTCCCGCCATAAAAATTTAATACTTCCCGAATATTCATTTGAGAATATTCAGAAAGTGAGAGGACTATCTGTCTTGGTGGGAAAAAGGCATGACACATGGACCATCAATGAGGTGACAAGTGGCACTTACAGTTGGGTCAATAAAAGAAAACGGAAAGGCACAGATGAAATACCCATAGTGTTTCTTCAGAGGAGGTACCAGTTCTAGCAGCTGGAAAAGAAGAAATAGGCATGAGATGAAGACTATAAAAGGAGAAGATTTACGAATCTGTTATAGATATGGAAGGGGAATCGGCATTAACTTTGATTACGGGTAATCCTCAATTATTAATGTAACTATTGCAATTAAATATGGTAACGGGCAATCAAGGCAATTAATGTCATTAATGAGCTAGAATTAAGTAGGTAAACCATTACAATTGTGTATCCTTATATAAGGACTCATACTTCATTTTGTACCATCATCTGAATATTTTTGAATATACGCAATCAATCTTTTACTTTATTTGATTCAAGTGTTTGAACCGCGATTCTGGAGGAGATTAACAATCAACAATAAGCTTTCTTTCCTTACTTATTATTTTTGTTATTTTCCTTATTCTTTGTATTACCAAGAAAATAAATTAATTTTGATTATCAGTAACCCCATTTTTTCTAATACTAGCTTTGACCATAACATTTATTTTTGGGTTAAATAACTTGACGAAGCAATCAGCCAAAGGTGCAAAACTTTTCATATGCTTGAACTGTTTGTATTAATTAAAGTTTCGACTCTTTTTAGGTTTTGGCATGTTACTCTATATTATATGCAGAAAATTAAGTAAAAGTACTACTTAATACATAACAACGTTCCCGTCCTTTGTTGGAGAAGTGAAAGGCTGGGTTTCGCAAAATAAGACTAGAATATAATAACTAATGAGAGAGAAAATAAACAATAATTTTTTCTGAATTCTTTTGGGAAAATGACACTGTAGACTTTAATTTGAGTCAATTGCAACATGGTGCCAATATAGGCTTTTCCATAGATGAAAATGATATATGAGATAGTCTCTTTTGAAGACAAAATGATACAGCTCTTATACATATTTTCATCCAAAGTCCGTGTTTACTTTCATGGAATTTTGGAATGACAAGATTCACATTTAGGTTCAACTGAATTCACTGCTCGAATCACTTACACACTCAAAAAGACATAAATATAGGATAGATATATCACATCCATTCTGAACCCGTTGATTCTATTGTTAATGATGTCGTGGATCTGGTCCTCCAGGTGCCACTCTATCTGCATCCACCAATACTACCCTCCTTTTAGTTTCTGTCAGTGTTTTTCCCAAATTAGAACATATTTCACGTAAAATCTCCTGGCTATCTATCTTTTTTCTCATACTTTCAAGGCCCCGATAGCTCGTCGCTATTGAAATATTTACCTCTGCAGAGAATAATAATAGAACAAGGAAAACTGAATTCAGTATGGAATTTGAGTTTGCCATATATATGTTGATGGAAAAATCAAAATTGTGAGAGGAAAAAGAAGTACTAAAGGTGGCAGGTTTTGATAATGAAGTAAGACATCAAGAAGCTAGTATCATGCAAATATATATAAGGGAATCCAAATGGAAGTGTCCAAAAATGGAAACATTTTTAATCGTGTGCCTATAGAAAGTGTTTTTAGAACATGGGGCTTTATGTAATGATTTTTGCATTCATGTTAAGCCCATGATCTAAAAGTTACATAATCCATGTTATCACTTGTCCCTATTATGCACTCAAACTTTTGTTGTATTCATATATAGTTTTACTTTCTTTTTTGTGTCCTTAATCCATTGTGAGATTGGTTTCTTTGAGTTGGATGACTAGTCATCTTGTATGTCCTTTAAGTCATTATTTCTCGGAGAGTTTTGAAAAGGAAAAATTATGCGATACAACATGCAAATATATACATTGTATTTATTATTTGTAGCTTTATTTTTAGACAATTACTATTGGTAGCTATATTAAATTTTATAGTAAATCCATCTGAAAGTATTGAAATAAGATATCAATTGTTTAGAACTGAAACAAAAAAGCAACAAGCTCTCGTAACTCAGTTGATTAGACCATCCACTTAGTAAGCGCATGTATTGAGTTCTACTTTTAACGAGAGAATTCTATTTTTCTGTATTTACGTATTTCGTCTTAGTAGTATGTATTGCGTGAATGATACAGTCGATACAGATTGTATCCTATGTATACACCCTTATATTTTGGGTTGTATGTCCTTTAACTCACCTTGTATGTCCTTTATGTCTTTATTTCTTGGAGAGTTTTGAAAAAGAAAAATTACATGATACAACATGAAAATATATATACACTGTATTTACTATTTATAGCTATATTTTCAAAAAATTACCATTCGTAGCTATATTTAAATTTTATAATAAATCCATATGAAGTACTAAATAAAATATCAATTGTTTAAAACTGAAACAAGAGAACAACAAGCTCTTGTTGCTCAGTTGATTAGACCACCCACTTAGACCACCCACTTAGTAAGCGCAAGTATTGAGTTCTATTTTTATCGAGAGAATTCTATTTTTCTGTATTTCGTCTTAGTTGTATATATTGCACGAATGATACAGTCGGTACATGTTGTATCCGTTGTATACACCCTTGTATTTTGCCTTGGTTGTATGTCCTTTTAAGTCATCTTGTATGTTTTTAAGTCATTATTTCTTGGAGAGTTTGAAAAAGAGAAATTACGTGATATGACATGCAAATATATACATTCTATTTACTACTTGTAGTTATATTTTTAGAAAATTACTGTTCGTAACTATCTTTGAATTTTATAGTAAATCCATCTGAAAGTACTGAAATAAGATATCAATTGCTTAGAACTGAAACAAGACAGCAACAAGCTCTCATAGCTAAGTTGGTTAGACCACCCGCTTAGTAAGCGCATGTCTTGAGTTCTACTTTTAACGAGAGCATTCTATATATTTTCTGTATTTATGTATTTTGTCTTGGTTGTATTTATTACGCGAATGATACAGTCGATACAGGTTGTATCTTTTGTATACACCCTTGTGTTGGCCCAAGTAAAGGTAAAGTTTTGAAGATTGACAAAGAAACTCAAACATGGACCAGATCCATCTTGTGAAGCACAATCGTGATCAACCCAAACATGTGAGATGCACGTGAAGGAGATAAACCTAACTTATCAAAAGTAATATCTCCTGATCATGATCGAAAATGTTGCATATTGGATAAGGAGAAAAACTCCTTACACAAAGAGAACACGATTTATAAAAAGGATAGAGTTAGAGTATGAGCTCAACTAGAACTCTTCCACCATGGAAAAGTAGCATCTGTATCCTAGTCAATCTCTAATTGCTAACTCCTTAAATATTAGTGTTGTTATCTTTTACAGGTAATGTACATAAGCAGAAGTTAAACATGAATTGAGAGCAAAATAGCAAGGCAATTTTGCAAGCAATTTATGTGTGATTCAAGCGTGCAAACCTGAAGCTACTTGAACCAGATAAAAGAACCAGTTCCAAGTGTCTATCCTTTTATTCTAGTTCAATAGTAGTAGGTGATTTTACATTATACCTTTCAGCTTATTTAGAAGCAATTGTATTAGGTACGTAGAGTTTTCAAGTTAGAGTTAACTTGAAGTTATCGCAACAGTTGAGGTTGTGTGCCATAACGGGATTAGAGTTAATCCTATGTTTACAAAAGAGTTTTTGTAAATCTGTTTTTGGCTCAGTGATTTTAGTGGAGAGTTTGGGAAAATCCTACTGGAAGGTAGGTCGTAGTTTTTTCACCTTTTGAGTTAAGTGTTTTCCACGTAAAATCTATGTGTTCTTTATTTTCTGTATTTATCATTCCGCAGCAGCAGTAGTTGGAACACATAGAAGAATCATGTCCTTCTATAATCTAGTTAAGCGAAAATTGGGTACCACACAGATCATCCCCTTTCTTGTGGGGGTATTGAAGTCTAAAACATTAATTGGTATCAGAGCGGGTTATCCTTGAAGAGGCTAACACCTTAGGATCAGATCAAGATGAGTGCACCACCTAAAAACTGGGAAGGGCAATCCATTGCTAGGCCTCCACTCTTTAATGGCTAGCACTACTCCTGGTGGAAGAACAGGATGAGAGACCACATCATAGGAGAAGACTATAAACTCTGGGACATAGTTAATGATGGTCCCCTGGCTACTACAAAGAAGAATGCTGAAGGAGTGGACGTACCAAAGACAAAAGCTGACTGTACTGCTGAAGATTTGAGGAAATGGGAAAAGAATGTCAAGGCCAAGAAATGGCTTATGTGTGGACTCGGTCCAGACGAGTATAGCAAAATTCAAAGTTGTACCATTGCTAAGGAGATCTGGGACACTCTACAAGTGGCCCATGAAGGAACTCCTCAAGTGAAGAGATCAAGAGGAACACTGATGTATTCTCAATATGAGAATTTCACTATGAAGGAAGGAGAAACTATCCAAGAAATGTACACAAGGTTCACAACACTAACAAATGAACTTAAGTTTCTTGGAAGAATTATTCTTGAAGAAGACAAGGTTGAGAAGATCTTGACAAGGGTCCTGCTAGTAACTTGGGAAAGCAAAATCACTACTATTTAGGAATCTAAGAACATTGCTACTCTCAAGTTAGATGAGCTGATTGGTAACCTCACTGCCTATGAACTGAGAAGGAAAACCATGAAGATGGATGCACTCAAGAAGGAAAGAAGCCTGACTCTTAGAATAGCTGAAGGTGTTGACTTAGAGGATGATGAAATGGCTATGATCACAAGGAATTTCAAGAAGTACCTAAAGAGAGGAAAGGGTTCTTCAAGAGGTGCAACCTTTAACAAACCAAGGGTTCCTGAAAAACAGACCAATGAGGGGTGCTACAAATGTGGGAAGACTAACCACATGATCAAGAACTGTCCAAAGTGGGAAATTAAATGGAAGAAGGAAAGGGCTGAAGGAAAAAACATGAAGAAGGAACAAGTTCAACCTAAGAAGAAAAAAAGGATCAACAAAGATTATGGTTGCTGCTTGGGGAGAAACCTCAGATGAGGATTCAGAAGATAAAACTGGAGATGAACAAGCACTTATGGCAATTGGAGAATCAGACGATGAATAAGAGGTAAGTGTGATTCATCTCAAAGACAAGATTAAATTTTTGTCTAAAGAAAAGCTATCTGAATTACTGCTAGATTTCATTGATGAGTCTGAGGTCATAACTAATGAGAAGGAACAACTGTTTAGGGAATGTATGATCCTAAAAGCCAAATGCAAAAATTTGGAATTTAGGGCTAGTGAAAGTGATAGTAGAAATATTGAGTTGAAGAACCAGGTTCTTAAACTTGACACCAGTGTCTTAGAACTTAGGTATGAGAACTTAAAACTAAAATTAGGAACAGGTAAGAAAGCTGATCACACACATCTCACCTTAGAAAAAAATCTAGGAAAAATGAAGGATGAGTTGTACAGGAAAGATGAGCAGATAAGAGTCCTAAAAGAAGATCTAGGCAAGGTGAAACATGAACTAGATAGAACTTACAAATGGAATAAGTCCTCCGATGCACTATCCTGGCTGCAAGAGCACCACAGTAGCAATAAGAGAGGACTTGGCTATGGGACCCCAGCACCTAAGTGGGATCCCAAAAGCAAGTACATCACATTTCCTGAAAACAAAATCTGCACACACTGTGACAAGACTGGTCATTACAAAAGTGAATGTATTGCAAAAGAAAAGGCCAGTCAAAAGAACAAAACCTTTGTTCAAGAGAAAAAATAGGCTACCTGGATGGTCCAAAAGGAATTTAATTCACCCCTTTGCCTATATAAAGGGACTCAAACTAGTTTGAGTTCCTAAGACTAACCCCTGATTTCATTTTGCAGGTCCAAGTGAAGGGAAGTAGCCGAATATGGTACATGGATAGTGGTTGCTCAAAGCATATGACTAGAAGCAAGAACTAGTTCCTTTCACTGGAGGACCTAAAAGGAGGTAATGTCTCCTTTGAAAATGGGAAGAAAGGTGAGATCACTGGGGTTGGAAAGGTAGGTAAGACAGACTCATATTCCATTGAGAATGTCTACTTGATAGATGGCTTGAAATATAGCTTAATTAGTGTATCACAACTGTGTGACAAAGGTTACCTGGTAGCATTCACCTCTACTAAATGTTTTGTGATTAATCTTAGCACTGACAAGACTGTTTTGCAGGGAAAAAGAGTTAACAATATTTACACTGTAGATCTGTCCACTCTTTCAGAAAATGAACTCACCTGTTTGAGAGTGTTGGACAATGATCCCCTCTTGTGGCACAAAAGACTTGGTCATGCAAGTCTAAATCAACTCAACAAATTAGTATCCAAGGATCTGGTGATAGGGTTACCTAATATCAAGTTCAAGGAAAATAATGTTTGTAAGGCTTGTGTAAGGGAGAAGCAGGTTAGATCCTCTTTTAAAAGCAAGAAAGTGGTAAGCACAATTAG